CCCGCAACGAACGCATCTACACATCCTAGGCATCTTACTTACTTAATGTTATTGATTCCAATTGACACTCCTACTGCTTTAGACTTATACTTTGCAGTACTTCACATTAGTTGTAACCCGGTAAGACTGTACTGTTCTAGTCCTTGTAGTAAAAGCAATACTACGAGTAATGCGCTAATAATTAAAGTAATTAAGCTGATCGATACTGATCGAATGTGAAGTTGGAGGTAGCTATCAGAAAACTTATGAATACTGCTACAAAGCAGCCAGGTAACAACTAACTCACGACTTAGTTGACAGAACCTCGAGAGTATCTTCCAACACGTCCTCACGCTACGAACGCTCGATCAAGGAATGAACTTGAATTAATTCTGACCGACTGGCGCACATTCCAACAAGTCTGCATGTGACTCCATGCTTTCGTATTTGGGAATCGTCTCATTAAAAGTTTGGATAATCGCTGAGAAGAAGTTAGGTCTTGACGTGCTAGAAGGAACTGAAAGAGACAGTTCTTGCGAGATGAGACGATCTGTGACCTACAAGGGAAATCTTTTCGGGTTCCGATTCTCTGGAAATTCTTCTCATGTCTTCACACTTCAGCTCGGTTGTAATGCATTTGAACTACCGAAATATTTTACTGATGACCTTAGTTTTAAAAAATAAGACATTGATCATGTACGTTTCTTCACAGCTATCGCCGACGATGATGAGCTTGGTGTCGAGTGAGGAAACGCTCTGATGTGTGTGAATTGTGTGAATACGCATGTGTGTGAATTCCTAGTGTGTGGGTTGTCACATTGCAAGGGGTTTGCTGCTGCCACGAAAGAATGAAATCACGCTCACGTTAGGCCGATGTATCCTACTGTGCTTGTTGGAAATTCGCAACATAAATATCTTCGACACCCAGTTGACCCACATTTTAGCGATCTTTCACAGTTGAAGACGCCATGAGATCCCAAATGGGCCTGCGTAAGTCAACACCTGCTTGTGTCGGATGACAAGAACGATTTCCAACAAAATGGTCATCAGGTCGATGAAAGGCGTTGGGTTCCGTGGAATGTCTACTCTCCTTTTTTTCTCAATATATTTAGTAGATTTTTCTTTAACGATGGGAGAAAGATTCGGTAGTAATTTTGTAGGAAACACCATCTGTTTTAGTTTCCTTGACCTAGTGTTTGCATTTGTTGTGATGGAATAGGACGACCTCGTTGGAGTAATTTTGGTGATGGATTCATGGAGCTGTGACCGTGAAACAATGCAAGAGAGAAGCCGAACTTCAAAGAAGAACCCTCTTTGTGGTGCCTTAATGAGTGCAAGAGGAACTTGAAATCGATAGACTGTGATGAGCAATCGGGGGAAAGCAGGCATGTATGGGTAATGAGTTCAATCGGGTGAGAGCAGGATACAAGCCTGCGACGAGCGACGCACGAGAACGTTCATCAGAGATCACGATCCTTGATAAACTTGGAGGAGGATCACGGTGAAGGTGATAATGTGGTTCACAACTTGAAAAAAAGGGAAACCATATGGACAATAGCTTTTCTCTCGAGAGCACGTACTTGAAAGGCATTCTAATGAGCGCGAGACAACTAAGAAATCTCAGTAGCAGTCAATACATTACAATTAGACTGAAAAAGTTGATCACTTCGATGGGAAAAAGGGTCCAGTCCTTTAAACATCACTGCTGTCCATATGAAACTTGAGATTGGGATCTCCTAAAATTGAAGGAGGTCATTGCACTAGCAGGCAAGCTACTAGAAAGAAAATAATTCAGAGAAAAATGTGTACAGAGGCCAGAAGAGGAACTCGGTTTGTCAGGAATACCCAGGAGATTGTCATAGAGAGGGAAACCCCCACTTAGCGTAAGGAAACCGTAAGGCACTCACCGACCCGTTTCTTATTTCAAGATAATGAAACACACTGAGCACTCCATGGGCGCTGCACTTCTGATTTTGTCGCTTTCACTATATACACCAAGAGGGAATTGAAAGCTATTATTTCATGTTTAGAAGTCTCCAATGCTCATTTTACTTATTTTTCATGCATTAGGTGTGTAATTTGCGTAAACAAATACCTTTCTGGAGGGATGCTTTACAATGACAGCCTCCAACGAGGCATCACATCCTCTGCAAAAGAGCACCAATTCTCAATGCTTCCTCGTTGCTTTGGAAGGCAGGTTGAGACTCTTCAGATCCGTCTAAGGATTCCTTTTCCTACCAATGGATTTAGTTGTCTTTCCTAACTTCCAAGATTTCAGCTTCTATTTCAAGAGATTCTTGATCTGAGATGTAACCGCACTTAAAAGGAGCTTTTTGTTTGTTCAAAGTACTTTGTACGAGGATCCTTTAAAAAGTGGATATTTCATTATCAGGCAATAGCATTGCAACAGTGTACCATGCTTCAGCTTTGATTGTACCAACTTTCAAACAGACGCCTCAACTAGTTGTTGAAAAAAATCTCTCGCTGTTGCATCAAAAGAAACTAAATTGAGGATATATCTTGTAAATTTCTTTTTCTATAATTAAAGTTGGAAAGTCAAGGTCAAGTACCTTTGAACTTTATTTCTATTGACACTCCATGGAAAAAGTAATTTAAAGGGCCAAGAGAAATGCTATAAAAATGACATCACCTTCAGCCCAAGCAGCATGTTTATGTTAATTTTACGTAAACTGAATGTAAATTTTTTGTCCATTTTATATCTATTTTATGCAAACCATCATCAAGATAATGTCAACATGTTTGCAGAAATGTCACCTCTGTAATACGTAAACGGTAATATAAAATTAATGTACATTTTACGTAAAATTGACATTCCCGTTGACATCCCCAACAGCATGTTTACATTCATTTTACGTAAAATTGATGTTAATTTCCCCCTAACATTCATGCGTATTTAAAGAGCCAATTCGTACTTTTGTAGGGAACTTAAACTCTGTAGTTCTCCCATTCCTTTCCATACTTTGGAACTCAAGGTTACTTGGATGAGTACACGAGTACACAAGTACTCATCCTCACCACCACTCAAGAGTACCAAGATGACTGAGTAGTTCCTCCTCCCGTACCAGAACCTCGAAAGGAGGAATAAATGTATAAAAGAGCTCTCTCCCATTAAGAATAGAGAATGTATAGTACTGGTAGAGTTGGGATTCTACTCTTCCCTAATCCCGTGCACTGCTGTAATAACAAGATTACCATCAGCATGTAATGATTCCCTGATTCATATATTATTAGAAATATGTAATAATTTCCTGCTTTCCATATATATATTCATGGATTGCATAATAAAAAGTGGAAGGATGGTAAGAAAACCTGATACTATATTCCGAAAACCAGTACTTAAATGCATTTGTAGGGTGCAGGGAACAAGGGTTCCATCTAGTGAGGAATCTTGGTATTGCAACTGCGGGATGGTCAGCTGAAGTTTCATATGGAAAGTGTGATGTTAACTTTGTATAAACTTGATATCATGTACTTCACGTCAGATGGAGTGACGTCTAGTTTATGTAAAGTACACGTACACTTAGGTGACGTAAATATAGAAACGTTAATTTGATGTAAACGTGACGTCATTTTCATGGCAATCGCAAGAAATTTACATTGTTTGCAATAAATTGATACCTCGTTTACGTAAACATGCTGCTTGGGCATCTCCCAGCCCTCAAGACTACCAATATGAAGTCTGAAGTCATAAGAGTGTTTGAACGAGTTGCCATTGAAGAGAATGCACACACAGGTTTCGAAACCTACCGGCGACCTCATATGTAGCATGCATGATCGATGGTAGGAATAACACCGCTGCTCATCTTTTTTGCTTTTCCAACTTGACATTTTTGAAAGACAAGTGTAATGAGTGATGTTCCAAATTCTCTTTGCGTTTACTAGGACGTGCGTATTCAAACTTACGTGCAATAAAGTTAATTACGAAATAAAGTTAGTACGAAATTACATCCAGATAACGGTTATTTCTTTATTTGGACCATCCTATGGCTTGAAAGGAAGTGGAAAGACTCAATTATTCCAAAGAAACATTCACAGAAAATTTTGATTAAATGCCATAATGGCAATACATGTCAATAATATCATTCGTAATGACTTGCATTCATAATAATGACATCAGATTTCTCATTTAATATGTTAAAAGAATATTATTATTCTGACTCATGTTCCTCGGACTCCACTTCTGCATTATCTTCGTCGGATGATACGAGATTGACAACCAAACCCGAGACGGACATTGGAATGCTGGAAGGGTCGGGAGGGACGACCTCGTTCTGCCACCTCCATGCATCGTTATAGTACTTATAGGTGCCGCCGAGAGCACCTATGGCAGCACCGGCCCCCAGAGCGCCGATGGGGCCAAGCACCGCGCCCGCCATCAAGGGGGCCGCTGCTGCAGCGATGCCGACGATGCTTCCTGCCTGGTATCGTTTCGCGCGCTCTTCCGTCATCTTCGTTTCCAATGAGCGGTGCCAGTCATCCAGGGTCTACCGGGAGGTTCGGATCAATGGAAAGCTCTACTGAAATGAGGAAAGGAACAGAGGGCACTCACGGTGACGAGGATGTCTCGGTACTCCTGGAAGAGCCAGGCGGGGGCCCAGTCTCCATCTTCCACGAAGGAGCGAACGACTGCGTCCCTGTGTTCCTCGTGGTTTTCCTTTAGTTCTTCCTCGGTCACAACGGTTTCTCCGTAGAATTTCTTCATCCTGGTAGCACTGAGGTAATCCCCTGCCCTTGCCCTCAGGGATTTCACCAGCAATCTTCCCACTCTTTTTTCTTTGTTTTTCCGTTTCCTCTCGAGATGATCTTTCGCCCTTGTCAGACGCTTTGGAAAAAGATTGAGGCTATAAGACAATATAATTCCTCATACACGGTGTTTCAATTTTTTTGCCAGTTTCTGTTTCTTATTATAGGAATGATGGTAAATTCCTTCCAATAGGATCAATATTTCACGAACTGCATGAGGATGGATGAAAGAAGGTTTTCACCAATTTGGAACAATATGGACCGAATGCATCACGTGCCACTCGTTTAAATGTTGAAGGTTAAGAAAATGGACCGAAAATCCATGTTTATGCATCCGTCTCAGCTGAGCAGCAAACGAACGTCTGTTGAACGTCTGTACGTGCCAGACAGAACGACCAAAGAGGTTAGCTTCCCCGGCTGCCGCGAACGCATCGGCGGGCTTCCACGGCTCACTTTTTTACCTATCAAGTTTGAATTGGTAAAGAATGCGATATAAGACGTCAATTTGATTTAAAATTGGCACAAACCTACTTCGTCTGATTACATGCAGTGTTTTAAAAAAATAAGTCGATCAGATAAAATAATTTAAAATAAAAATCATTAATAGATTAAATGATTTGGCACAGTTTTTTTTAAACACCGTGTAGTTATGACAGGCCTGTTAGTACTTCATAATCGTTGTAGGCAGTAGACATACATTATCACTTTCATTACTTACGTTCACCAGTGAACTCCTCAGCATCTTCGCTTCTTTCTGTGAAGTTTAAGGTTTTATCTATCTGTACAAAGATCCGGTTTTTTTCGAAGCCCTGCAAATTTCGAGGAATCGATGGGCGTGATGGGGCTTCCCAGGGTTGCAAGGTTGCAAGGTTACAAGGTTGCTAGTGCTTACAGCACTGAACCGTTTGCAATTGATGCGATGATTCGACGCCGACCTTAAGGTTCAAAAAATTTTTCGTGAGGTAGTGCTGATGGATGAAATTAAGGACCAGAGAATTCTCTGGTCCTAAGTTTCATCCATTTGCACTTAGCATCAGTTCTTAAGAACCGAATATACTGCATAATGCCAATATTTGAAAGTCTCTGACGGAAGAGTGGATATGCAAATATACTTGACTCAGAAGGGTCATTCAATTTCTCTTAATTGATGCTCAAAGATTTTAGTAAAAATTTCTAAGGAGCGGACTTCCTCATGTTTTATCTCTCACAAAGCCTTTTGACGAACGGAAAGTGAAGGAAATGAATTCGAATCTTTTCCCAATATATATTACATCAATTAATTAGACTTTGGAATTAATAATATCTCCCAATTCATAGTGAACTTATGTCATAATCTTCGACACTTGTAAATGAGAGATTCAAGGCAGGAACAGCATGAAACAGCGTGCCAAACAACTTCGGAGGCGATATTTATGTCCATGAGTCTTCTTTCCTGGCGTTCAAAGACATGATTCCACACAATTCTCACTTTGTGAATATAAACGGTTTTACACTCCTCTCTAGAAATACGAGGTAACTCAGAGTTTGAAGGGAGGGAGAAGGAAAAGAGTGGTACCTCATCCAGCTTCTCCTTGTATCTGTCGGCGAGGTGAGGCCACTGCGCCCCAGTCTCCCAGAAGATCTGCAGAGCTTCTCTGCGGCACTTCTCGTGTCCTTCGAGCAGCTCTTTCTTGGTGAGAAGGTGGTTGTCGGTGACTCCCTGCCTTCCTTCATCGTCCTTGCCGCCGCAGTGGTAGGACATCTCGAGCTCGTAGACTATCACGCTTCTCTCCACCGCGTCTTGGAGGGCAGACTCAGCTTGGTGCTCTTGGGAGTTTCTGAAGGCTTTGTATCGCTCGTATTCGATTGACATACGCTGTGGCGAGGGCATTTTTCAGTGAAACATTTTAATGCCAAATTACTTTCAAATAAACTTTGAAATTTTGTTACGGAATTAAAAATATAGCAATTGAAATGGCTAACCAATTCCAAATCGTCCGTGTGTTTCTTAGCAAGATGTGGGTATTTTTTTCCTGTCTCTTCGAAGGATATCATTGTCTGTCGCTGATAGCTCCCATGGATGTTGTTCAGNTGTCTCTTCGAAGGATATCATTGTCTGTCGCTGATAGCTCCCATGGATGTTGTTCAGTTTCTCTTCGCTCATCAAATCTACCAATAATTTGCTCATCCGGTCGTTGTATATTTCCATAGCGCTTTCCTTGGCATTGATGAGTTCCGTTTCTGCTTGTCTTTCTCTTGATTCTCTCAGTTCGATGTACTTCATGTACTGCTCATCCAAACGCTGCCAAAAAATTATTTAAACATTGGAATTACTCTAGACGTCGCTTGTCGTGATCACTGGCTGTTAGCCAGATAATGTTGCAAAAGTTCCTTGCACGAACTTGATCATAATCTGCGTCGTATACTGTGCTGCAATATTTGAAGGCCTTTTAATTAATTCACGGACAGGATCAGACAATGGAAGAGGACTAGAGTCATCCTGATGTGGACTAAGCAGGTATGAGATAAATAGCACATGTCCGCGAATGAAGTGAACAGGCCTCATATATTCAGAGGAATATGTGGAGCAATATTATACTTGCAACATGATGCATGAAAAAAGTTTACCCTCATCAAGTTTTGATGGTGGCCATCGAGAAGATATGGACAGAGTGTGTTTTGAGTTCTCTCCAAGAAGGCGTTGATCGCCTCTTTGTAGTGCTTCCGGTGCTCACTCTCCAACTCTTCCTCGGTGATGACGGCTCCTCCGCAGGAGTGGCCCATCTGGCTACAGTAGATCCAGACGGTGGACTGGATGGCGTTGATCAGGTCCCCGTTGGCAGTGGTCTCTTTCCATTGCCGATCGGTGAAGAAGAAGGCTGACTGGGACTCGATGTCCTGGTTGGGAGAGGGATAACTCCTATACAGTAAGTGTTCGAACAATATGCACCCGAACAATATGCACCATCGTATACAGATATACCTGGTGAAATCTTTGGAAAAGGATAAGGTAACGAGAAATACCAGAAGAAGCAAGCGAATCCACAAAATTATTTGAAATAACGGATTAGGACGATTCCGAACCTTCTCCAGTTTCTCCTTGCATTGTGTGAAGAGGTCTTCCCCTGCAATTTCCTTATTCTGCAAGAAGTCTTGAATCGCCCATGCCTTCTTCTCCTCGTGTTCCACTCGCAGCTCCTCCTTGGTCACCAGTGGGACCGTCCCCAAGACCTCGGACATATCTTCCCCGTACTCCTTGAGGGAGCGGGCTGCCGCTTCCAGCAGTTTCGACCTGATCTGATCCTCCCTCGCGTCTCGCTGTATCTCGTACTTCTTATGCTTCTCGTGCAGGCTCTGTTGGAATTAATCATGGCAGATATTTGCGGCTTTTTCTTATATATTTGTCAGAGAGCCGGCTGATTGAAAATGCTATGGAATTAGTTTCGGTTTTGTTAAAAGTTGCGTAATTTGTCTAAAGAATGTCTACCGTAATTCAGAGTACGGTGAAAATCAATAAGTAAATAAACAACTTTTTATTTTCCATGTATGAGGTGGAAACAATCCCAGAATCTCTCGAAAGATTTCTCTACTTGATTCATGAAGGCTATTTTTCATTTCTTCGGCAGAATATTTTTGCTTGTTTAGTCTCTGTAAGCCCCAGGTGAGAAGATAAGGCCTGAACTTGTAGTGTTTTTAGAGCACGAGTACTGGATTGAGAAGAGAAAAGTCCTATAAAATCGTGGAACCTGCTTGTGGCGTTTCTTCTTTCCTAGGGCTTCTTTTAAAATTTCCCCTTTAACAATGTGACTTTTCCTTTAAAGGTTACAATATGACACCTCACAGTGAAGGACATTGCTATGAAGCTATGAGTGTGCTTCCATGACAGACATGCGTTTTTAGCAAAAAATGTGACAAATCGGTTGTGTACTGCTGTAAGCGTTGCATTCCCATGCATAGGAATGAAGGAATTTCTTACCAAAGTTGCAAAGTCTGTTGATCTATGATAAAGTCGTATTAAGCTTCAACCAGGACGCCTTATGTGCGTCGCCCGGGATATTATGCATATCGTTGAATTAATTCTTTTAAAAAATTCTAATTTGTAGAGGTTAATGGTCGATAGAAATCCCACATTCAACAAAATCACTTTAGAGAGGAGCTGTCGTCTCATTCGAGGCGGATTTGCCTCCAATGGGGCTCCAATCAGGCGCACAAGTAAAGTTTCAAGGAGCAAATGAATTCGTTGTAAGCATCCCATACATATCCGAATTGTTGCGCCAAAGCTCATGCCAAAGGCTCATGACGCTGATTGAAATTATCAATTCCCCCGATTATATCAACATGATTGTCACTGGAAAATGTATGCACTAACCTCATTCAAAAGCAAGATGTATCTTCCCAATGCTTCTTTTCCGCCCATCTTCTTGGATCTCGTGAATTTCTCTATCGCCTCCACTCGGAGTGAGGCGTGAACTTGATTCAGTCTCCTTCGAGTGGGCACGGGAGTTTCTGCCAGGTGTCCGTCCATTCCTTTGGTGTAGTGGTTGACTGCTTCGTCGCAGGCATTCCGGTGCTGTACCTCGGCGGTGGCCTATAGAGAGGTTCTATCTGCTATTTGACGGGTATCTGACATGCGACTGACAGGTATCGTCTAGGAAGTACCTCGAAGATGCTCATGGGCTCGGGGATCTCCGCTCGGTTGTTGTAAATTCCGATGTAACATTTGAAGAATTCGAAGAGTTGTTTGCACGTGATGGGACTGCCGGCGATCGTCTTGAGAGCCAGGTTCTCTGGGGAGAGCAGCTGCTGTACCAAAAGACGGAGTTGATCCTTGAAGTCTTCCCGTATATCTGAAATCGCGACCATGATATTTCCTTTCAAGTGCGGACAGCGTCATCCTACAGAGACAAAGTAGGAGACTCACCAGAAAGAGACCCGCTGAAATGAGGATCTCCAGCCACTCTCTCCCCGGGATAAGGCATAAGGAAGCAATTGAGTTTCGTAAAACAGAACTTGATGTCTTCCTTCACTTTCTTCACTTCCTCTCGCTGTCTGCCAGAAGTCTGACATCGGCGAAGGTCCCAAATTATGAGTAATCATTTAATTGCATTAAATGAAGAATCATGACAGGAACGAAGACAGACCTTGAGTTTCTCGTCCAGGAACGCCTGCCCTCCTTCACTTCCATAGGGGACCTCGTGGTGGTTCCTCCAGTCCCTCACGAGGAAGAGGAAGTTCTGGAAGGGTTTGTCGTTGCTTGTCTCGAGGCACAGGCGGCCGTACCCAGTGAAATACTGGAATCAGGAATGTTTCTTCGGATTCATCGTGTGCATGAAACTCAGTCTTTATATCGCATTCGTTTGACGAAAAAACATTCCACTGGGATATTTGGGGAATGACCACTTTTCCCACACAATTCCCTTCCCTGCTCTTTGCAAATTCCGCCATTTATCTGCAATTCCTTTGCGATTTTCTTATTCCCTTAAATAAGACAGGTCATAATCACCTCATGGAGCTTCCTTATCTAACTGCCCTCTCAAATGGAAGGTTCGGTTGGCTATCTTTTCTCGCCGTTTTCCTTGGGTACAAATTAAACCGAAATACGAAAAACTAATCATGCAATTTTCACAACGGTGCCGTAAGGCCTGCTAAACTATTTGATACTTGGAAAAATGGAATTACAGCATCTCCCCCGGGAAGCTAGTATTTTTATCGTCTCAAGGAAAAGGAAAATACTATGAACAGTAACTGAAAATCATCAATAAAACAAGAAAGCAACAAAATTACGCATTTCCATAACCACAAAGGAAGACACCTCCGATAAGGAAAGGAGACTGTAGGCTTAACTCTTTGAGCCCTCAGTTCCTGAGCAATTTTGAACCTTCTGCCTGAGCTCCTGGGCCAAAATTTGCTAATAATGGGTATACAATGTTTGTGCAAATATTATAGTTGTAATTAAAGAGATGAGATTGATGCTGAGATCCGATTCAAATTCTACCTCACTGTAAGAGTAATCATTATCGTACTCTACTTCCGATAAATCATCCAGCATATCGATTACTTCCTGCGTTGTATACAGTTGTTTTCGTGCACGTTTCGTCCCCGATGTCACCCCTGACGGGCCAGGTTGAGGCTCTGTACCCTTCATGCTAAAAAATTGATCCAATTTTATCCAAAACACAGTGAAAGGGAGTAGCCATATTGCACTAAATTTACTGATGTCAGAATGGTAAGGTTTCTCTGATTGGCCGGTAAAAATAGGTTTAAACCAATCGCAAAACGCAACGCAAGTGTTACACACCCCTTTACCGGTGGCTAGGCAATACGTCATTTCTCTCTACCACCGGTAAAGCGGTGGTGAGGGCTCAAAGGGTTAAGAATCCCTTTCTTACGAGATCAGCCATGCACTATCATACTCCCCCCGTACCCCTGAGAGGCGTCGAAGATGATGGTCAGTAGCAAGCAATGAAGGGATGATTACTGATTCACTCAGACACGTGCAAGTTTTTGCTAAATGTCTCAATGAATTTGCCGCAGAGAGCAATTTCACCTTTTCTATGTGCGTGAATGCACTTAGTAATTTTATTGTATCATTCATTACACGTTCCGTGTGACGAAGAGCCTTCTCTGGCATGATCAAACTATATATCACCATAAGGAAGTGGTTCTGCAACTCGTTAAGAGAATTCCACGCGGACTGCTGCTACTTGATTTAATCAGTTGTTTTTGGAAATTTGGAGTAGAGTTCGCGAGGTTTTATTTCATTTTTCATAACCTGGTGGGGTACAGAAACCCTATGACTTCGCGGCCGCTTTAAACTACCTGGAGGTGAAGGAGGTCGTCCATATGGATGTTTTCCTTGAGGTTGTAAATCTGGACGGAACTGAGGAGGGTGCTAAGGGCGAAGACAGTCACGCTATGAGCGAGGGACTCCTCGCAGTCGAATGTCCCTTCCGTGTCCATCAGGAGGACGCATGCCTACAACGGGAATTCAAGCTCAGTAAACGTCAAATGACCATCAACAAATCAAAGACAAAGTCAACCCCAGCATTAATGGCAGCTAATAAAGGTATAGGCCGTGCTACTGATATTTTTAAGTGTCATGCATCTTCTAAAAGCTCTGTTTACTTTGATGCGACTGCTGCAAGTAGTTTTGTATACTTGCTGAGAGTCAAAAGTTAAGCCCAGTTCATCATGTGCTGATCAAAAAAATTCTAGCGTCGAAACTTTGTGCGATATGGATGCCCTGTAACTTCATAAAAATATCAAGGGTGCTGAGGGCGAAGACGGTCATGCTGTGGGCGAGGGGCTCCTCACTGTCGAATGCCCCTTCCTTGCCCATCAGGAGGATGCATACCTGCAATTGGGATTGAATGGGACCCTTGCTTAGTGTCGACGCGGCGACCCTAAGCAAGTTTGGTTTCATATTATTGCAGTAAAAATTTTCCCCAATGTTCCAAAAAGCGGTGAATTTTAAGATAAACTTCATTCGCACGTTAACTGTAGCTTAATGTTACGTATTTTGTATCCCACACCGTAGCCTATCTAATGCAGAACATCAGTCTGACTGCATCTCTCCTTTAACCTTAAATAACTGGATGAAATGATGAAAAACAAATTTTATTCAATTTACTGACGAGTATGACCTCCCTTGGCTTTAAACAAAACAGACACTCTTTCATGCATATGCACATGCAACTAAACACGAACAGACACTTCCATGCCGTTCCGCTCCTCTTCGATGATTCTCGGCAAAATTAATCGATTTCGACCCCCTGTATCAGGCTCTTTCCAGAATTGCCCATAAGAGTTAAGACGAGGGGACGGAGAGTACCAGTCTACCAATAAAGTATTGCTTCTTTGCTACAAATCTTGGCCCTAATGACAGAATGCTTGGGATCGTTGACACGATTAAACAACGTTTTCTATTTTACCCTGCACCTGTCAAAACTCAGCTACAATTCACCAGCCGAAATGTTCACGAGCCGTCAGAATTTCAGAAAATTCTTAATATTACGCAAATAGCCAAAGTCTTGGGCAGTAATGTAACACAGGTTGTAATGGACCTGTCACCATATTGCACAGTGAACTCGATATGGTGGGAAACAAGTGTAGACAGGGCTTCTTCGAACAATATTGACGTCTATCACACCCAGACATAGATCTTACTTACATTAGACCAAATTACATGCTTTACAGTACTCAGATGCCAAAGATTTATAACTTTGTTGTAACCTGTAAAAGTTAATTGTCCCTTCGGTGCTCGAGCTTGAGTTACCGCTTCTTTTCGCGACCGTATGACTTGCACCTGCAAAGGCAAAGAGTCCTGTGCACAGTAGTTACTAAAACAGTGGCAGATGCAGAGGTATCGAGGAAGGTTTGAGCCCTGATAGTAGTAATTGGCAGCGGATATCCATGAAATTGACTGCAGTCGAGACCAACCCGCTCAATCCTCCTTCGGGAAAGACAAATTGCGCCTAAAAAGGTGGGACGAGTGACGAAGGAGGGACGCACATCGAACAGGAAAGGATTGACGAAGCTGTTAAATTATTAGGTTCGGCAAGAATTGAGAAATTACGAAAATGCAAAGCATTGGGACAATTTTGACTGCTACTGCACATGAGGAGTGGGGCCGAAAATGTCAAGTGGAATTTCGATAGCACTTAGTAAAGATTTTGGGCATGCAATTTTCAAAGGTTGGGCGTCTTCTAGAAGATCTGCTCTATCCGAAAAGATTGCAGTGAACTGTTTGACAATGCTTGTAAGGTGTAAAAATGTATGCCCAAGTAAATGTGCGGTCTAAAAATATTTTAGCTCAAACGGAAGCTTTCCATGATATTCTTGATTGGCCTTCGTACATTTGGAACGGAGGCACACGGATCTAAAGTGAATATTATGGAAATTACCTCTTCCCCGTTGGCGAGCCTCAATGTAAAAATTTCATCCCAGATGTGAATCCCCGTCGTTACCCTCTTGGAACTCATTTTCCATGCGAACCCTGTGATCGGAGTGTCTTCATCCTCCAGCCAATTTTCAGACCCCTGAAACAAATAGGTCAAAATAACAGGACAGATGGACAACGGAGGTTGGGGGAATGCTGTTTAGCAGGACTCACTCGAGCCCTGAGGTATCTCAGGAAGAGACTCAAGAGGAAGGACTTCCCCCTCCTCGCCCCCCCGGCGTACCTGTGGTGGCGCTGGCCGAACAGGGACGTCACGCGGACGTCGTCCTCGGCGACGTCAGATAGGAGGAAGTCGTCCATGCTCAGGGAGAGGAGCAAAAGTAACACGAGGTGCTGCGTCTACCGTGTTCCCTCGGCCATGTCTGCAGGCAGAGGTTCTTAACGTAGGAACAGATGTCGATTTCAAAATCCTGAATTTTCCTAAAACATGGAACTATTAGGCTTTTGGGATAGTCTGCCGTTTCGATAGATCTTTGGTTTTTGATCGCATTCCACCAATCCAGTGAAATTCTTTTTCCCCTTCTCATTCTAAGAACTACATGAGGAATAAAGGATTGCAATCGCGGACACTCCATAGAACATTGCGGGTGGACCTTTACCTGAAATGTTCCAAGATTGCCTCCAAA